ATTGCCTACTCAGTCCACCGAATCATTGTACATACAGCCCCCTTCCAGCAATATTAATCCTGAGTGCAAACTATATAAACAAGAATTCTAAACATATCATAAAGTTTCCGTATGCACTGAATGTTCAAATAAAAGGAAAAGTTTCTTATCAATTTAGATAGAATACTCGTTAAAGATATCAATATATATTCTGAATGTGACAGTCTTTTCTAAATAACTCCAGACAACAAATTCATACCGATATATGGCTACATTATTCAGGCAGAATAAATATGGTTGAACACGGCAGTGTGAACGATAATTTAAAGGAGCTACGATCAGGACACAAAATGCTAGATTTCAGATTTAGTGTCAGATGGTGTAGAATTACGTGTGTGTCCTTGGTGCATTTCAGTTTCCTAGTACTAATCCAACTAGTCAATAATGTCGTCAAAGTGAGGGCTGGTTCATCACACATTTATCCCCATGTGACAAGGAAAAAGTTTCACCTGTGTTCTCTCACTATTAGTGAGTTCAGCGATATTGCATTAAAATATATTAGAGGGTGATCAATGCCATTAACAAAACTGGTGCTTTTTCATGTCTATTTTCATATACCCGGCATTTATATATTAATATATGAATTATTGCAATGACATTGGACTTTTTCATCACGTAAGTAAATGTATCGATATTATTTTAATGCTATAAATAGCTACAAGCAATGAAATTAACTCGTAATGGCATGATAAAAAGCTACAGACCTGTCTCTATTAGCAAATAAGACATATTTGTTATGGACTCTTGTCCATTGTGGAAATCTTAGTAGTCTAGTATTAAATGTGTGTAATAATACAGCAATCTGAATAAAATCAGATCTCCACTGTCATAAATGAAGATCGGACAGTGACCCTACGATGTTATGTTCTGGTGACACATGAATTAACCAATATAAATGCAGCTTTCAGAAATTTGAAAGTGAGTCAAATCAATCGGCTCAAAAAATTGACGCACTTCAGCCACACTGCACTATCTTGCAAACGTGAAAACATAAGACTTCATCTAATTGGCTGATAAAATTAGCGATTGTGGTAACAACATAGATCAATAGAACATGACCCCTAAGCGGTAGCTGTCGAATCTTCACGTAGGATAGTGTAGATATGATTTAAATCAGAAAAAAAATAATACTAACAAGTTTAATCAAGTAGCAATAGTTAGAAGAAAGGCCCAAAAATTATACCTGATTCTGTTTGTAGGGTTTTGCAGTGAGTCATTAAGCTATTATCATTGCAGAGAGTCATTAAGTCATTGTCACACGGTGACAAAATAGAACGCTGCCCCTGTTATAGTGGTGATAAAGATAAGATAGATAAGATAAGAAGATAAGAATTATTTATTTCAGACTGCATGGTCCATACATCTAAATTAAAATACGGATATAGAGTAAAACATTGTAAACATAAAAGAACATATATATATATATATATATATATATATATATATATATATATATATATATATATATATATATATATATATATATATATATATATATATATCATACAGATACATTTACAACAATTGCGCCCTGTATTGTTAAAAAATGAAGTTAAGTGACAAATTTAAAGAGTAATTTGTTCCATCTAATAATATCTACTAATAATATGAGAAAATTTAAATGAATGTCATAGTTCCAAAGTGATTTCAATATACAGTTCTCATTATTAGATAATCTTGTTATCATTGAGAATACATACTTTCTCATTACTTCCTCAAAACTGAATACATTTTAATTTACAAACATGTTGGAGGCACTGTTCCATCTAGGAAGACATAATAGAAAGCGAAGACTATTATTATAACCAATTACTAGTTTTCTTTTCGCATTTTCACTAAAATTTGTCAACAGTGGAGCGCAATACATAGTGCAGCAATAAGATTTGAATAATCTAATTTTGATACTCAATGAACTAAGCTTAAATTTGAGTAGAAGCTGGTTTGTTCGAGTACACAAATATCGATAATGTCTCATCCTATGTTCATTATCTATCTGATTGGATTTCAAAATATGGCCCAAAGACGTATAACTGTAAACATATGTAAGAGCATTGCCGTTAAGATGTACAGAGGGAGGTGATGGTAATTTAAAAGAAAAGGACTGAAAGACCATGCATACAAATTTTTGTGTATTATAGATGATATCATTCTCTAATGCATATTGTTCACATATCTTCAATAATTTTCTTAAACCGGCGACAGACGGACTTATCAGTGACATATCATCAGCAAGGCTAATGCGGTTGATTCAGTAATATACAAAATTGTCTCGAACCACCCGTATTTGCCTGCGGATAATACTCAACACCCTGTGGTACGTGGTATTTATTATAAGGTAAGCAATCGTACCTGTTTCAATTTCTCACAACATGAAATACCCCGCAGCCCCTTCCCCCTACTGTTGTTCTGTGATGTATACTGTCAAGTTTAATCACTTCTTTATGGGCCAAGACATTTTGTGTGATATAGTCCATGTGAAATGTAAAAGCAAATATATTTCAATGTCCTCAAATGATTTATATATTATGTGTAGCATGTTATTAGCGTTGATTACTATGTCATTCACATTATTATTGAATATGAGGCTGTTGTCGAATTACTCCCAAATCTCTTTTTTTTTCTTTTTTTTTTCTTTCATTTTCTTATTTTATGTATGACGCAAGTGGTCCGGTAGTAATAGGCAGGATGCAAGTTAGATACATACGAGAATCTTTAGATGTGAGCCAAGAAGCTTGAAGATACGTGATCAAGTTAAGGATACAGATTCAATTACCAACCTTGAAACTGCGTCGGTGACAGCGTTTGCCCCAAGCTTGAAACTGTAGATATTTCGTTTGCTTTATCAGACATTTTTCTATCGGTTATTAACTTGTAAAGTTAAAAGTTTACTGCCATGACATAGATATCATACAGATCACATATACAACGGAATGTCACGGGACTGACGATCATCACTCACATCATATATGTATATAAACAACGGATTGTCACAAGACTTACGATCATCATTCAAACGGAGTAGAGTTCGCTGATAACACTTGACAAAATGTTAACGTACGCTTATCTAAATTTAGTTGGGCAAATCGATAGTTCACACAGTTAAAAAGCAAATATTATTTATTCATCATGCTTATGTGAAAATTTGAGTACCTGCTACCAAATGCTTATATTTGAAATCTCTTGAACTTGGTGCCTGCAACAGATTATACATGAATGCAACTGAATGACAATGAAGATACATATTAATAAATGTTATCACATAGGTTCTAAACGGTATTTTCGATATTACTCTAAATTACAAAAATGTCTGAACCCATACTTTATTTATTTATGTCTTTAGTTATCAAACTGCAAAACATTTTGAAATTAAATTTATAAACTAAGGTTGTGATGCGGCATAAATTATGTCACACCCTTTGCTCGGGTTCAATTTTCAGGCTTCCTTTTTTTTTCGTTCCTTGATTTGTCTTGACGAACATCATCCACATTATCTCAATAAACTATCTAAATTTGGAAAATATGTCTTTTTGTATTTCTGCAGATAGGTAAACTAAAAATCAGCACATTTCCTGAAAAAGTTTAATTATTCTACGAAAAAAAAAATACATGGATCCATATGCTATTTGTTTAAGAAACTGGAGTGCTATTGTTTCTCAATGTTTATAATAATATTGGATTCTAAAAGAATGACAGTGAGCCCTTGATTGTTCTCATAGAGAACCCCACATGTCGTTACTTATGCATCTTGTAAAAATCCGTTACTTGAGCGCAGTAATTAGTCAACTCTTTCTAAAACAATTTGGTTTGACAATTGCCATCTTTGACATATTTTGTGAAAAGATTTATTGAAATTATAAATGTACAAATCCCCCTCACTAACAATACCTTTGTGTCCCGTTAATTTGTTTTTATTTCTTTTTATTAGAGAAGATGCAAACTTCAGTATTACCATTTGAGCTTTTAAAACTCGAACGTGTCAAAAAGTTAGTTTGAAGGAAACATTTTATGACTTGAAACCTTTGACCTCCTCCCACGGGCTTATCCCAATTAATGCATACAAAACCCTTGCTGTTTTAGGCCTGCATCTGCCATATATGTAGTAACTGCTCCTCCCAACGCAATCTCCAAAACACTAACTGCCTCCTCTGCGATGAAATAAAATGTACGGGATTTAATCTATTTAATCTTATTTCTGCTGCTACAATGAGCGAGTCATTAAGGGCATTCTAGATACGTCCTATAAGGCTATAAGGAATTATATTTAAAAATTGTTTACTTAATCAACGGAATAAAAGTCGAATATCTTTTCAACGATTGGTTAGTGTGGAAAAAAAGCAATAAATACAAGAAAATATTTTTTTATATACGAAACCTCGGATCAACTACAATAATATTTTTGGTCGCAATTTCTATTTATCCGAACATATTAGATCCATGATGGCAAAATATAATTTTTTTTAGTAAAGTAATCTCCTGTCTCGCGCTTAATTTAAATGAATTAAAGCACACAGAACAAATTCAGTTTGTTGTATTTATCTAAAAACGTCATGTGGTTTTACAGAGGTATGTGAAATATGATTTAAGAAAATGTGTGCGATACGTTTGGATCGCCATCTAGACGGGTATATCTTTTCAGACGATATGTTCCGTGCAACATTCAACACTTAATGTAAGTTGTAATTTGTGGTTCTTTGAAGAATAAAAATAATTTACGCGTAAATAAAATCCAGTATTGTTTTTTTATCTAAATATTACTTTATGTATTTTCAGCAAAAATTTTAAAAATTTGAAGTGCAACCGTTATATGAGCTCTGAAATTGTTGTAATTTCTTCGAGCAAATTAATGAATTATATTCTTTTTTTAAGGAATTTCATTTCACGTAAACGTAGAATACAAAACACAAATTAGGACGACTGCCGTCAAGTCGTATATGATGAATTCACGCTGGCCAACTGGAACTGCTCCGGTCGCCTAGTGGTTATAGCGTCCGCCTCCAATTCGGGAGGTTGTGGGTTTGATCCCCGGCCGTGTGATGCTAAAGACTTACAAAAATGGTACTAACAGCTGCCTCGTTTGATGCTCAGCATTAAGATGTTGGTGTTATGACTGATCGGCATGGTGTCAGAAAAATGTGACTGGGTGGGACACCATGCTACATGTTAGTGGCATGATTTCTCAGTGCTAGACTACCACACTACAACATAAACTACCACACTGCAGACATTTTTTGCGATATGACTAAAAATTGTCAAAGCTACGTTAAAATCAAAACCACAACAACACTGACCAACTGAAAATAATGTATAAATAAATGCAGGACGTTATTTTCTTTTAACCAGTATTTACATTCAGCGGAATTAGTCGTGTATATTAAGCAAGCGCGATCATGGCCATGTCGAGCAGTAATATTGGAAAGTCGTCTGGCATTCCTTAAAGATAGTATAGTATAAAACGATTACTCACAAATGTTTTACTATCCAAAATTAGATTCAATACCAAACTACAACACTTGATTTACTGAAATATAATCTAACTGATCAGAATCGCCTATATAAGAAGTATAAAACACTACTAATTTAGAATAATACAGAAATGCGTTAAGGTATAAAACCACAAAAAATAAAGAATTAGACCAAAATATGCTAAGGCATATAGAACAACTACAAAACAAAAACAAAAAATACACAACATGCATACATCAAACAAATGCACAACACACTTAGATAAGTTATTCATGTTTACCTTTTGGCATATGAATTAACTATTTCCAAAACTCTTGAATGGGACTATATAAAGACCACAACTCGAACTATTTGAACCAGATAAGCTGTCCTAACATATACATATACATATAACATATACTAAAAACAATTACACTCATTAATATCACAACACAGGTTTTTCTGACTCTAGGCAGAGTCACTTCGTGGAAAACAAAAAACTACTTCTTGGGAAAAGGAGAATAAACCGACCGTAGGGCACATAGTTCTCAGAGAAGGGAGTATGACCATACGTTCAAGTGAGGGATGATAGAGACCAGGTCCACTGCCACCTCAGTCAAAGGGAAGGGAGTATATCCTCACCATGCTTCATGGGATAAATAAAACTCAATGAGAAACACTTGATGAAGCAAAACAAAGATGCAACCCTGCAAAATTAAACACCATTAAACACAAACAAAAATGAAAGGGAACAAGAAAACAAAAAAAAGGAAACTCTTCAGGAAATCAGGGTGTCACTCCTAACCCTTACCAGCTATATACTGGGACGGGTGAAGTAGTGTCAACAAAGTATAGTATAGCAAGCCAAATTTTGGATAGGGATACAAAGTCGAAATCCTACACTAAACATTGGTACCAAAGTTATTACGCTATGTGAAATGTTGCTTGAAATGTCATCATTTATTCTTAAATATTTCGCGAAAAAGGATATTAGTTTCCTCCCTTATATTATATTTTACTATATGTATGACTAATACTGGTAAACAAATTGAAAGCTTGGATGCAAGACCCTGTGACATGAGCCTCTCTATCAACGTGGCAGCCTGTTGTGATTCACCACTTTCACAAATTTAAAACATGGTCGTTATATATACTGAAAGAAATATAAGTCTTCTTACTTAATATAACAATAGCTGAATATCACTGTAAAAAGTACGTGTAAAATTATCGTTTACCTTTATCCTTGATATAGTAGGCTATATTAGATCAGCCTAGTTTAATGGATTTTTTAAAATTTGTTTTTTACAATTTTGTTTTTCGTTTACCATATAAGGACATTGGTCCCTTGTGTGGAAACACAAACAGATAGTAGTAAATATTTTATCCATTGATAACGTATCGATGAATACATCGTATCCATATATGTAAAAACATTCATATACGAAAAACCAGTTACAGACATAATCTTGTGTTATCTGTCATGGTGGACAAAGTACTGTTAGCATAAACATATCAATATAATTTGCCCGATATAGGCATAATAACTTTATTATTAGTCAAGATTTATGAGAAACATAATTCTGCCTTGTTGGCATCGGTTAGTCTCGAGTTTGTAGTTGTGCAGCGTCTTCTGTGGTTATGCAACCCCACCCGGGAGTGGCAATCCTTGCTGCACTTGCAGGTTAAATCAGGTCTGGATTGGAGCTTCTTCCTCTTCCTCTGAGATCTTGTCTCATCAGCGAGCTGTCGTAACTTGTCCTCGCTGGCTTTTAGACCAGTGAACAGAGCATGTCACCAGTTGGACTTGTCAAGGGCAAGCTCTTCACAGGTGTTGACATCGATCCCAAGGACTTTCATGTCATGCTTGCAGACATCCTTGAAGTGGAGATGTGGCCGTCCGATTGATCTCATGCGAGAGGTAAGTTTAGAGTAGAGAATGTCTTTGAGGATCCGTCCGTCATCCATTCTACGTACATGGCCCAGCCATCTGATGCGACGTTGGCGGAAGAGTGTGATCATGCTGAGAATTTTGACATGTTCAAGCACTTCGTTGTTTGTGACACGATCGCTCCAGGTGATTCCGAGTATGCGTCCGAGACAACGCACGTGAAAGGCGCTCAGTCAGTCTTTTCTCCTGAGATACGTACAGGGTCCAGGTTTCGCTAGCGAACAGGAGAGTGCTTAGCACACAGGCACGGTACACAGAGATCTTAGTGTTCAGGGTCAGCATGCTGTTGTTCCACACTCTCTGCGACAAACTAGAGAGAACTGTTGACGCCTTTTCAATCCACTTATTGAGCTCGACGTCGAGTGAGAGCTTCCTGGTGATGGCAGAACCAAGGTAAGTGAATTGACTACTTCTAGTTTGTAGTTGTTGATGATTATACTTGGTGGATCCGCGTCCTGAGCCATAACGTTGGTTTTCTTTAGGCTGATGGTCAACCCGAATTAATCGCATGCTTTAGCAAAACGGTCCATCAGGGGTTGTAGTTCAGCTTCTCTGTGAGAATGACTAGAGCACCATCATCTGCAAAGAGCATGTCCCTAACTGGTTGCTTCCCTTACTTTGCTCATTGCCTTTAGTCGTGCCAGATTGAACAGTTTGCCTTCTGAACGCCTGTGCATGTAGATCCCTTCTGTAGACATCCTGAAGGCGTACTTAAGCAGGACAGCGAAGAAGATGCCGAAGAGCGTGGGGGCAAGGACACCGACTTGTTTCATTCTGCTGTGGATGTTGAATGGGTAGGACGATGAGCCATCACAATGCACTGTGCCTTTTATGTCTTCATTTAAGGACTTGACCATGCTTAACAGCTTATCAGCTTTGGATGGCATCCAATCTTCGTCAGGATTTTGAAGTATCAGTCTCTGCTGACCAGATCGAATGCTTTGGTGATGTCTACAAGAGCCAGGAAGAGCCAGGAAGAAGGGTCTGTATTGTTCTATGCACTTCTTCAGCAGTTGCCTGATGGAAACAATCATGTCGATTGTGGACCTCTCTGCGCAGAACCCACACTGAGACTCTGTATACACTGTCAGCAAGCGTCTGCAGTCTGTTCAGGATGACTCTTGCGAAGACTATACCTACGATGCTGAGAAGTGATATGCCCCTGTAGTTGTTGCAGTCACTTCAGTCGCCCTTGTTCTTGTACAAAGGTTATGATGTTGGCATCTCTCATGTCCTGAGTCACTGCACCTTCATCCTAGCACTGGCAGAGAAGTCCCTAAAGGTGTGTGAACAGCACAGCACACTGCCGCCGCACTTGATGACTTCCTTGGGGCTTTACATGTGGTCAGTTTCTCTAAGGCCATCTTTAGTTCTGTCGCAGTAGGTTTCTCATCCAGTTTGGTCATACAAGTGAGGTTTTCAATGGCGCTGAGGGAATCGTTGGTCACGTGGTTCTCTCTGGAATACAGTTCAGATTAGTACTCCACCCAGCTCTCCATCTGCTTGCCCTTGTCATGGATGGTATCTCCTGCAGAAGACTTCAGCGGAGCTATCACTCTCTTCGTTGTTTCTTTATGCTATTGTACATGCCTCTGATGTTTCCGTTATCTGCTAATAACTGGATGCCCTGACAGAGCTGAAGCTAGTATTCATTGGCGCACTGCTGTGCTAACCTCTGTACTTTGCTTCTGGTAGACCTGATACCTGAAGTGTCCTCTAGCAGTGTGGCTGCTTGTATTCCAGGTGGGCACTGCGACGCTTTTCAATGGCTATCATGAGTGTGGCGGAGTTGGCGTCAAACCAGTCGTTTTTCTTTGTTTGCTTCTTACACGAAAACTAGTTATTCGCAGAAAAACTCCCGAACACCTGCGATCAAATATTAGGCCAACTGTAATACAGACGCAACAACACGAGTGCAATCTTGTGTGTGCGGGATTCCTCCGCGGTGATTGATTCAGAGGTCATATCGAATTCTGGCTTCGTTGATGATATTGTAATCGTCAAGGCAACGCTCGGGGTTGTAGATGCAATGACACGCTGCATCGCGACAAATTCCGTCAATATACAAAGTATTTTTAAGAAAGCGTGTTTCACTAGAATGCGCTTATGAACTCATTATATATGTCTCAATATACAATATTGATGTCTTCAAAGTTTTTGTGAATCATCGTACGATTCGTATCCCGGGTATATGATATTGTTTGTGAGCAACCGCTGAAATATCGACTCGGCAACATTTATAACTTCAGTTGCATTGTTGCTCGCGCAAACTGACCCTACAAGTGTTTCCAGTATAATCATTTATCTGTTGGTCTACAGACATGCATTTTTACCCTGACATGAAACCTTTAGATTTCATGAAACCATATGTGTTGTCCACGTTTGAGTACACGACCAGAGAAACATGTTCTATGTTTGGGTGGTTCCAACACCATTTAGGATAGAACTTCTTCGTCCTCGGAGGCATGTTCATTGGCAGCATCCCCAAAACTAGACCGATGGATGTTTTGCAAACGTATTTTAAATTTCGGGGCAATATTATTTTACTGTTGATTGTTTGGTATTTTCTTCACCTAAGATTGTAAAGATGCTAAAAAACCTCTCAAACTCAAACCACATTGTACCTGACTGTTTTGTTTGCTTCTTTC